AATCTAATGGTCCATACTTTTTTGCATCATCACAAAGATGCAATGTATTATGGATGTTATATGACATTTTCTGTTTACCATAAATTTTCTCAAAACCCTTGACAAAACTTTTTAACAATTCTTTACAATAATCAATATTACTCAACATTTGAAGACGTTTATCGCTAACCAAAATTGCTATTGCAAAATGCAATGAAATAAAGTTGTCATATATTTTGTCTGAAAGAATTCCTTTTAATACAATAGGTCCTGTGTATAATAGAAACGTCCTGAATTCTGTAGCTTTCCAATGTGTGTATTTCATTATAGATCTGGGTTTTCTTGCAAATTCAGAAGGTGTAGTATGCTTTAAAATGATTAATCTCTTTGTAATTTCATTAATATTTTTAGCACTTAATCTTACAGTTAAAGGCCCGGATAACCATAAATTAATCAACTTCTTCATGACTCCTAACAGAATTAGATGCATGTAATCCAGTGGTTCTGATGTTACACAGCCAAATTTTGGAATCCTTTTTAAAATTGTTTCTTTTCCTGAATCAAAATCGTTATATTTATTATTATTGAATGCTTCGTCAGTTTTCATTGTAAAGGGTCCAGTACCTGGAAAACAAACATTTCCTTTTCGATTTTTATTTTTGTTTCTTTTAACTTTTTTATAAGCATATTCGCCAACTATTTCACATTTGGGACAGCTATTGTAACCGGTATGACCCTTCAAGCTAAAGACAAAGGATTTTGCTGGAGCATCGCATACTATAGCATCACATGATATTTTAACATTTTTATCTTTAAAGCCATTGTTAATTAAATTTGATAACTCATGAACGAATTCTTGTAAAAACTTATTTGCATCAGACGGTTTTTTATCACCGAAGAAAGCTCCAACTGGGTACACTGTTTCTCCATATAACTCCGAGCATAAGATTAACCACAGATCTTCCCCTGTTGATTTAAAAATTGGTAATCCATCAATATTAAAGACTAATTTCAATTCCTTGCAATCTTTACCCCTAATTTTGTAATCGTGATTCATAGCTTTTATAGCTCTTTCTATACCAAAATGATAGTATTCACCTCCTCCAAATTTACGTATTTTCACATGCCTCATAGTACCCATCAAAGTTCGTCCATCCGCAGGTAAAGAAAAGGGAAGAAATGGTTTAAGCAACAATAATAATGCAGTTAATGCCATTAAAGTTATATGGAAAATTAAAGCCCATTGTTGTAAGTTCCTTTTAAAAGTATTTTCTTCAACCTTCTTGGGATTAGTCAAACTTTGTAAGAATTCATCACACTCTTGTTCCATGTCATCTTCGTTTGCAGATGCTTCATCAGTAGAGTCGTCAGTGTCCATTTCGAAAGATTCACTTTCATCGTCAGAGGAAGATTCACGACAGCATCCATTGAAATTAATCAATTCTTCATTTGAATCGAAGAAATGCGTAAAGTTGTCCTCAGTAACGTTGTCCTCTATGATAACATCACAGTCACTATTTGAAAAAAATGATATCATTAAAATATTTTATAAAATAAGTGATAGAAAATTGCATAGAATAGGGTGAGACAAAAAGGATATTATTTTAATTTTTACGCTGCAAATTCGGAATTATTAAATTTTTTCAAAATACAAATTAGTCATTTATTTAAATTCATTTACACTTTGTAAATATAAAACAAAAATAGCCAACTGGGAGATTAAGAGATGTGTATTACCTAATAGTATTTATACTATAAATGACTGATAAATCAGTTGAATAGTTTTTGCATAAAACCGAAATGGGTTTTTCTCCGTCGTGATATTTTTAACCAACTCTACTCTACTTAATGCAGAATTATTAAGTGCAGTTATTTTGTAAACAGTAATTGCTTTCTATGTTTAGGTAAATTATTCAATTTTAAACATTTGCATAAGTATTTTTACTTAAAAATTAATAAATTTAGATTACTTAATAGTTTTTTATTGGGGATTTTTCAATATCGTTCATATTTAAAGGTAGTGGGTAATTATCAACAATTATCTTCTTTTTTTAAATTTAAAGATTTAAAATGTGTTATAACATTAAAGAATTACATTTTAAATTAAAATTTAGGTACTTAATTATTATTTTAAAATATTAATAAATTTGTTTCAAATCATAATAATTTTTGTAGTAGACTTGAATGCTAGTAAGAAGTTAAGATTATATTTACTTATTTAAATTGTCAATGGAATACCTTAAATCATTTAATTCTTGCAACAAAGGTCCTCCGCTTTCAGTGTTTTTATTAGTTGCAGTGTCCATCTTCGTATTTGGAACGGTAAGTGTTTCCGCAATGTCTTTATCGTCAATATATCTATTAAATAAAAACTAGACTTATTACAGAGTGACAATTTTAGTTTAAATTAGAAAATACTTAACATTTTTTAATAATCATTAATTACTTTTTAAAATATTTGATAAGTCTGAAGTCATTATGAAAAAAGTTGAGAATATGTTTTTATAATACAATTAATAATAATATATTAAAAAATAATACCAAAAATTACTGGATAGTTTGAAGGAAGATTCTACTCCAAGTTCATCGTCAGTTGTACTGTCCATTTCCATACTTGAAACATATACATGATATGTAGAAAAATTTATTTTGAATTAAGGGGTCTACCCACTTTAAACGCGCTAAAAAAGGCTATTTTTGTACATTTCTTCAGGTTTGAATTAGAAATATTGACATGTGAGATTTTGTACATAAATAAATACTCTCGAAGTGCAAGAAAATAAATGTTAAAAATTTTTACATATTGTTTTTTATTTAAAAATAATTAATAACAATGTTAATAAAACATAAGTCGGTGTGCGCCGTTGATGAAATTTTGAACATGAATGGTTTGAAATTAAAAATTTTGATTTTTTGTTTTCGAATATCCATGCAAAAAAATTTTATCAACGGCGCACTTTTTTGAATATTTTTCACTAATTCATTTTAATTAAAAAAATATATTTAAAAGAATTAAAATTACGTTTTTCTTACACTTCGAGTGTATTTAATTATGCGTGTAAAACCTCATGGAAATATTTACAATTTAAACCTGAAAAAAATTTTAAATAGCTTTTTTGTGCATCTAAGGTTGGTAGACCCCTTAATGATATGAATAAATTTAAATACGAAGGGTAGAAGGGTCACATAAGAAAGAGAAATAATTAAAGGGAGAGTGCAATTAACATTAAAAAACGCTTGAACAGTTCATTAATTTTACTTTGTTTAATGATAATATAAATAAATATACAAATTGTTGAAACTTAATATAAAATACCTTAAATCATTAGATTGCTGCAGTGAAGGTTCTCCACCAATCGCAAATTCACTTTTACTGACTATTTCCTTACTAGAAACATATACCAAAAGTTTCGCAAATTAAACTTTTTTTATAATATATTTGAATTTTCTAAATATTATTACAAATCTGTTAAGCCCAAATTAAAACATAAATGGATGATACATAATTATAATAAAAAAATTATTTAAATAAAATTAATATTTTTCAAATGATTCTAGCTTTCAGTTATTTAAATGCAAAAAATCAATTTTTTATAATAATTGCAAACCCCCAAAGTTTTCTCTTAAATTATTAAAGTCTTATAATGTTTTCAAAAAATTATAAATTCAATTTTAAAAAATTTCCAATCAATGAAAATGTAATAAAATCTTTAAAAAATAAGTAAACTTTTAAAAAACATAAATGAAAATAGTAAATTTTTAAAAGAATTTTATTATAAACAGGACCATGAATTTTAAAAAATTTTATTAAGTCTAAAAAGTAAATATTAATTTTTTTACAATGTTCGAATAAGAAGGTCCCTGAAGCTGGTGTCGACGCAGAGCAACGAAAAATTTTTTAAGATCCAATTATAATTAGATCCTCAAAAATTAGTATAAAACAATTCTAATAATTAGTTTTTAAAAATATTTTTCATAAGATACAATTTTTGATAAATCTATTATGTATTATAATTAAATTGTACAAAATTTTAATTATCCAAAAATATATTTAATATAGATACATTTGAAAAATTTAATTACGTTATAAAATTATTCAAAAACAAGTTTTGAAAGATTTGTTTATAGTTATTTTTCGCATTAAAAAATCAAAATAAGTTGCACTTCTTTACTAAAAATTGTTGTATTTTGTTTCAATGTTTAGAAAAAAGTCGAAAAAAATCTCAATTTTCTTATAATTTCTCTGACAAAGTTTGTTTCCTGACATTACCTCACTTAAGTGACGAAAAATTTATTTCCCTACTAAATTGGAAATATTTATATACATATATGATTGATGTTTGTCATGAATGACAAACAGAAGACGAAAAACTAATAAGGATTAATGAACATCACACAAATAAATAAAACAATAAATAGACGAAATAAACTATCACTTTTATTTTCCCTGTTGTGCCCCCATCTACCAATTTTTTCTTGAAAAAAATTGTTTTCTGTGTTAGTAATTAATTTGTATTGATCAACATTTGAAATTACCATATGTTCAAGACACATACCTGCAAACTTTATCCTCCGAAATAAATATTTGTCGGCAATCCTCCTCTACTCTTTGTTTAATAATTCTTCGTAAATTTCTCTCTGAATATCCGTGCGAAAAACTTTTCTTTGTTTCTTTTTTCTCCATGTCATTTAACTTTTCTTGTAAACACTTTTATTCTCAACTTACAACAATAATAAAGTAGAAAAATGATTGAATAAATTCTTAAGATGCACACGACCGTTTAGAAAATTTCCGCAAAGAGGTTTTCGTTTATTTCAAACATGACACGAAGCATGCCGGCAAATATGGCTACGTTGTAAGAAGAAATTTGTTAGGTTATAGACAACAGGAAATTGTAAATTTGAAATCGCTCAAGATCGTCAATGCGCATGCGTTACATTAAATTATTATTTATTTTTTGTTATGCTAACTTTTAACATGTAATATTTTACTATAATTCATAAAATATTAATTTCTAAGTAATGTCTTTCTAAAATAGTTAAACAATTCAGCAAATTATATAAATTTTAAAATCTATTTTGTAAGTAACGCATGCGCATTTTAAGTTTGCTTGACTAACCGGCGAATCTCTCAACAGGCTCTCACATGTTTTAGTTCTATCGAGCAACACGTGCGTCGATTCTCGTCTGTAATTTGTGTTTTATTAAACATTTGGTTTCCTTTTGTGACAAGTTTTTTTAATAATAATTTACAATATGGATAGTGAGAGATGGCCTTATGCTGTCGTACTGTTTGAGGACGGATACATGATTGTGAACACTAATTGGGGAATATTTCATGAAGATACAATGGTATCATGTTACTTTCCATACCACTTAACAAAAACAGAAATACATCGATTACTTAAAAATTTATCAGATGTCAATTACAAGGAGTGGGTGGATAAGAATGGACATCCGTTTGAAGTAGTAAAATTTTGCTGCTACGCGAGTAAGTTTTTTTTATCTCTTAAAACTATTTTTAAATAGTAATATTTATTTAGTTATTTATTATAATTCTTTTATATTCTTCTTATTCATTTATATTTATTTTGTATTATTTATTAACATATAAGCAATGTTGTATACTAAAAATTAATTTTTTCTTTTTTATTTCAAATAAATTGCAAACAAAATGATGTATTAAATAAAATATTAACAAAACTATATCATATTTTATCGAAATTTTTACTAGGATAAAATATAAATTCATAATTACATATTTTAATTAAGTGTGAACTTTTGTTTTTACTTGGAATTTAATATTTTGTATTACTCATTTCTAGTATATTTTTTTTATTAAAATAGAAAAAAATGTGACGCAAGAAGAAATTGTTTTTTTTCAGTGACTTTCGAAATGGCTCAAAAGAAACTTGAGTTACACATAGAACTGTCGGATGTGTCAACCGACGAATTAAAAAATTATGAAAAATTAAAAAAATCACGGAACAAGAGGAAAATGACTGAAAAAATGGCTGAGCTTGTAAACAAAAAAAAGTTTTGTGGTAACAAATTACAATAATTAGATTATGCATGATATATTGTTTTAATTATTCTTCAAATATTCAATTTTGCTTTTGAAAAACTTAACAATCTCCCTTTATTAAAATTGTTCTTTAAAATTATTAATAAAATTAAAATTTATTTATTAGAAAGTGTTTTGTAAATTAAGAGAAATATATTTTTCACAAGTTACTTTTCATTCTATAGGAGAAATAAATACACGCCAGCTTGTTATTCCGAATGCTTCAGAATCGTCTCAAATCGCACAAGTCAATTCCAATGCTGTTAATGAAGGTAGTAAAAAACTATTATTGTGAATATTTAGTAGTTCATATTAATCTTTAAATTATGATTTTTATTAATTACACTCAAAATCAAAAATTACAATTTGCTTATAAAAATTCTATTGTTAATTTTTCAATAAAATTTCATAGAAGAATTCAATCCAATTTTTTCCAATTTTTAATCAAACATTACAAAAAAATTCATTTATTTTCCAAACTTCTAATAAATTCTTGGAAACAATTCAATTATTTTTAAAAATTAGTAAAATTCTTTGCCAGAATTAAATTATTTCTAAGATAATAAAATTTTTTACAGTGATTCAATTATATTAAAAACAGTTTTAATAATCTTCAATTATAAAGTATTTAATCATAATTTTTAAAAGAAGTGATTATTCTAAAAACTTAAAAGAAATTATTTAAAAAATTCTTTCAAATATATATATATTTATTATATATATTATAAATATATTACCATTCCATCGGTAATATATGTAACATGAAGTAAAATATAAATGTTTTCTCTTTAGGTGAATTAAATACAACACCATCAGATTCAGAAGAAGTTTCAATCAATGATAACGAAAGTAATAATTCGTTAATATTTTACAAATTTTTTTTCATTTTGTTATATTGTAAATAAAATAAAATATTTTGTATATTATAATTATATGTTATTTTAGACGCTGGAAATTTTGGTTCTGATTCTGCACACATTGATTCGATCATAACTCAAACTGCAGCTTCTTTAGAAAGTGCATTCGATATATCTCAATCGGCATTTGAAGAAAAAATATTAAATGCATGTAAGAATATAATTTTCTTAATTTTTCTGACCAAGTAAATGTTTCTAATCGTCTATAAATGCAAAATCATTGGTGCATATTTACATTTATACTAATTTTTTTTAGTGAAAAAATCAACGGCAGTTGTCTTAAAAGGTTTACACTCTGTTTCTTTAAAGGTTGATACAAAAAAGTCTAACGATGAAACAGAGGACTCACCATCTTTTTCCAATAAAGATGATGACTTAAAATCATTTCCTATACCAGATGCAGCCGAAATGAACAGGGTTGAAGATAAACTAAAATCTAAACGTTTTTTTAATAAAGTGGTAATTCATTAATTTTATTTTTGGAATTTATTTTTACATACATGTTTTTTAAAATAAAAAATTAAGGAATGTAATTTTGTTTGCATAAGCTATCGGCTTGATAATTTTCGTTTTTTTATGTTTTAGGTTTCCAGTATTGTAAAGTTAGGAAAAAGTCGAACAACAAGTATGACTGTTACTAATATTCTAAACAATTTATTAACATTCAAAGCCGGGCAATTGTTTACTTTAAAAGGAATGGGCAAAGTCACACCGAAACCGCCATTTGATCAATTGCGTATTTATATAGTAATTCAAGGTAAGAAAAAATATTTTATATTTTTTCAATTACAACTGGTTTTGTATGATTCAATTGTTTCTTTCTTTTTTTAAAAAAGGTGAACGGTCCTATATTTCGACATTAATGCATAATTCTATTCGTTTTAAACAATAAATTATGGTGTATCATTGATGGTCTTATAATAGAAGCCTTAACCTTAAATCACTTAACATACTAGGATGTCTACTGGTCCTTAAAGTCCTGGAATTTCTAGAAATGCCCTGGAATTTGAAAAAATAATAAAAAATAATAAATAATTTTTTTTTAAATAATTGAATTCTTATCAAGAAGTTTATTAAAATTTTTCATAAATTATAACATCCTTTACATAGGTTTAATTACTTTTGGAAATAGTAAAACTCCTAGCAGAAGTTCAATTATTATCAGTATAATGTTAATAAAATTGAATACTTAAATTTAAATTTCATGAGAAAAATTCCGGTAAAAAATTAGGATATAGCCGGAAAAACTGAGAAATAACCGGAAATTTTGTTGAACCAAAGTAGTAGACACCCTGATTAATGTTATGTTTTTAAAAATATATATTCAAGATAGAAAATTATTATAAAATAAATTACAGATTTTTCAAACTATGACAATTTTTATTTTCAAACTCTTATTTTTTATATAGAAGCCATGAGAAAAATGGATAAGACATCGACAGTTGAAGATACAGCAGAATGTATTGGCAAATGGTTGCAGCAATGCTCTAATAGGCAGAAGCGTTTAGAGTAAGATTAAAAACATTTATCAAAATCATTGTGAATATTAACTTTATATTAAGAGTTAATAAGTTTAAAATTTTTTTTCAATCTAGGGAGAAATTAGAAAAAGGAGAAGCTGCCCATAATCTTCAAATCACTTTTGAGGAGGATGACGATTAAATAATAATTGCCTAAACGTAAATATCTCAATAACATAGTTTCTTATGAAGCATACTTCTTCGAATTTTTATATTATTCTTAATTTATATTTTTAAAACCTTATACTCTCTTTTAACTGTTTTCTTTACAAATTGATTATTTATTAAATTATTGACAAAAGAATAAGATTATTAATGTAATAATAATATAATAGAATAAGATTATTAATGTAATAATAATATAATAGAATAAGATTATTAATGTAATAATAATATAATAGAATAAGATTATTAAATACAAGATAATTAATTTACTTCTTCTTATATTGTAGGGTGCAATTATAAGAAGTAAATGAAGATATTTCTATTGATGCGGATGGTGAGAAACCACCTTGAAATTGATACTTCTTTAAGTGTAAGTATTTAAATTTACAAATAATTCTGCTAGTATAGATTTCAATTTTTATTACCTCTAAAAAAATAAATCGACTTATTTTTTTACTTAAATACAATTCTAAATTGCATTTATTTTTCTATTGTTGCAGATTATGGTTGAACATGGAACTGAAAAACAAAGTTTAATTTTTAAAACGTTTCATAAATAATTACAGTTGCATAAGTCTTTGTAAAAGAAAGCTAATACTAAAAGATAAAAAGCATAATAACAGAATTAAATTTTTAAAATTTAATAAAAAATAAATGTTGTATTTTAATTATAAAAATGTTTTTATTATTATTTTAAAATAAAAATGATATTTTTGCAATTCAGAATAAAATATTTATTTAAAAATGTCCTATCTACACTATTTTTCTGCTATTTTATATATTAACTATACACTTTTATAAATGTTTTACATACTTCAGTAAGTGCATAAAATGTGTTTACATAATAAACTTCGGAATAGCTGTTAACTTTTTGTCAATCTCTTATTACAAATTTACAACAATCTTACATTAAAACTTTGAGGCAATCCTACGCTCCAACCTTAAGGCAAACTTACGTTCTAACCTCGCGACAAACTTACAATGCAACCTTGCCAAACAAGCTTGCAAAACTCCGGCCATTTTGATACTTGCGACAACCTTGCAACAGGCTTGCAGTGCAAGCTTGCCAACCTTGCACTGCAATCTTGAGGCAAGGTTGCCGCAAACTTATGTGCTGACTGGGATAAGGTTCTCTGTCGTTATAATATTTGCATAAATCCAAATATTAAATAGATATTTCACTACGTCAGAGGCCTGGAGGGACAACAAACAGACGACACAATGTTATTCTTATGAGGAAGAATATTTTTTCCACTTTCATCAGTTTTATTCATATTTTAAACATGGAAAACGCTTGTTGCCATATAATAAAATTAAAATGTGTGTTGATATTTAATTTTGTTATATATTTGATTCATTTGCATTGATAGATTCTCTGAATTCGTGATAAAATATAAATATTGAGGTTAGAAAAGTTTGTTTACTAATCACATTTTACATTTTAACATTATTAAACAATATCCAGTATGCATGTTATTAAAAAAGATATAAAATATATATATTTTAAGTGGGAATTACTGCAGCAGTAAAATATTTCAATTTACTAAACAAACACAACTAACCTCAAATTTTATCTTTTATCACGAATTGAGAGAATCTATCAATGCAATTGAATCAAATATATAACAAAATTAATTATCAACACACATTTTAATTTTATTATATGGCAACAAGCGTTTTCCATGTTTAAAATATGAATAAAATTGATGAAAGTGGAAACAAATTTTCTTCCCCATAAGAATAATATTGTGTCGTCTGTTTGTTGTGTATATTTTTATGAAACTGGTAAAGATTTTGTCTGTATATAAACAAAAAGAAAAGTAAATGTAGAGAAATAATATGTAAAAAGTAGTAAAAAATAGTGAAAAATGTACTTTTATTATTAAAAAGAGAAATTATAATTGCATTATTATTAAAATTAAATGAATAATAGTTCTCTAAAACAATGTATACTGGAACAGTATATACCGACAGCAAATCGCAAGTTGATGAAGTGCACCGACAGATGGCAGCATTCGAGACATTTTGTGGGGGATTCTAATGCGTTCTCTCCTATAAAGAGAGATAAAAGTTTAATAAGTTCTCACTCTTATGATGAATGTACGGAAGCCTGTACGGCTCACGAGCGTCTCGGACGCAAGTGGCGGTGTTTCGTACCACAAGTGGCACGGAGTCCGTCCAACTTGTGGCACGAACTAACGAACTTGCCACAAGTTGGACGGACTCCGTGCCACTTGTGGAAAGTGGATTTTTTGAAGGGTCATTCACAAATATGACAATCCTGTTGCCGTCTATTTCGTCAGTGCTTTTCATTTCAAGTATAATTTCATCCGGGCAAGTCCGTTTAATGTTTTTGAATAAAAATGAATTTGATTAAGATTAAAGATGGAAAAAATTGTATTCGATTACCAACTGAAAAAAATACAATATCCTTAAAAACAATAAAAAATTATTTCCCACAAGCAAGTGGTTTAATCTATTTTAACACAAAGGATGAAAAATGTGGTGTGCAATTAATAGAAAACGATTTCTTTAAATTAGTCGATGGAGTTGATCAATACGAAATTTTTAATTCATCTGTCATCAATATTCCTTCTAAACGTACGTATATATGTATGTCAGAGATTACTGTATACTGACTATAAATTTATTAATGTAATAACATATATGTTATTACATGCATTGGAAGTGCATAACAAATTAGATTAGATTTTCAGAAAATGCGTGAAATTAAAATTTTTGAAAAATATATTTTTTTATAAAAATTAAAAAAAAAACAAATACATTCGGTTAAAAGTGAGTCGGAGCATATGTATTGCGTCAGTAAAAATTATAAATTATTATTATTTGATAAAATCTTTTAATATTTTTTAACTATAGTAGAGTGATGTTGTGCTTTTGGCATAATGTCAAGTAAAAAAATCCGTGAATATATTTTCTCCCAATATTGGCGGCATTTTTCGACCAAAATTAGATTTCGTTCAAACTTTTTTTGCCGGGTAAAGAATGTAAAAAAAATCTATAGGGTAAATGTTCCTATTACCGATGGTTCAATTATTTTTCTATTATTTTAATAAAATATTGTGGCAACAAAGAAATAATATCATATTTTTAATGTAATATTTGATATTTTACTAATAGAGTGAGTTATTTATAATTTATATTAAACCTAAATTTATCTGTTTAATAAATAATTGAAAAATTTTTGTCACGATTTCGCGAAAAGTCAATTGTTTCCTTATGAAAATAGCTAAGAAAACGCCCTTTTAATATATCATTCTTTTAATTGTGCTTTCATCTTTTCCAATGCAAATATTTTTATAATATTACAACTATTGTATATTACGTTTAAAAAATGAATAGATTTAATTAGTCATTTTAGTATTTTAGCAAATTATTTTTTAAATAACTGGTACCGAATTTTACGTGTTGCTAAAATGTTAGTTTTTTGTTACTGCTTTAGAAAATAATTATGCCATTTTTTATGTCTTCTCATAGGCAATATAGTAGGGGGTGTTGGAATTACTTCACCCTCCGCTAAATTAAATTATTAGCATAATATTTGGATGCATTTTTTGTAGATCCAGACAATAAAAGTAATATTAAAATGAAAAGAATAAACGAAATAATGGACGTTATCAACAAAGAAGAAAAATTCTTCCCGGCAAAAAACTCAGAAGTCAAAAAAGCTTCTAATAAGGTAAATATATATTGGTGATTCTCCGCAAACTGTCATATTTATGTCCCTAACCTATATCAACTGAGTATTGACAAATTAACGTCCCTTTTTTTGGAAAACCTATATCCAACGAATTTGCGTACGCTCTTTCCGAAAATCATATAATAAAATGTCTTACATATTGTTCATATTAATGTTTTTTTTCAAAAATGAACGAATTTTCACGATTTTATTTATTAGATTTGTGCACATTTCGAAATGAAGAAAAAGTTTTTGACAGCTATCATTTATTCATTATTATTTATACTATTTGAGAATTAATTTTGCACTCAAATTTTGGTGCATTTGAATCATAATGGGTTAATAATAATGGGTTATAAGTAATTAAATTTAAATTTGTTTTTTGTTATGTTTTTATTCGTTGTATAATATATTATTGGAAAATCATATTAACTTGTATTTGGAAACATTTTCTACTCCATAGGTGCAAAATTTTATAAGTGATGCTACTCTAAACATTATGATGTCACTATTGTGGCTTTTAGGAAACCACCGTGGCAGAACTATTTTACTTTTTCTAGAATATCTTTGCGAATTTTGACTTTCGTACAGAATCATTTTTTCTACTGATTTTACTAAGGAATAGAAGTAAAAAAAATGTTAAGACCCTTTAATTATTTAAAAAAAATTTTTCTTAATTTCAGGACCTGAAATATGACAGTTTGCGGAGAATATCCCCATTTCTAAAAATTTGATAAAATAATAATAAACCTTATTACATCAATTTGATAATATTTAGTAATTACATACAATTATGTTATTTTGTGAATATAACTTCAAGATTTATTACATATTTTCAATTATTTTTCTTCTTACATTTCTCAGATTGTTGTTAATAAAAAGAATAGGAAAATTATTAACATTGGTTGGAAACATAAGCAAGATGAAAATGGGAAATTTTTTCACACGAAGGAACCAATTGCAGGAGCCAAAACGTTGGAACTCGATCAAAACATATCATATCATCTCAAAGATATAAGGAATATGATCGTAGAAGCAATTAAGACAGAAGAGAACTCCAAATATTTTGAAGGTTCCATTGTTGACATTGGGAATTATAACGAAGAAGTTTACGATGCTTTTCGAGTTCATGAGGATGAAAATTTCTGGGATTTTGCGAAAGAATGTCGAGGAAATAATTCTACGTTGAGATTATATTTACTAACTACAAAAAAATCTTTATCTAAACAAAATGGGGCAAATAATGTAAATGACGAACATTCACCTCCAGTGAACCAAACTTCTTCAGTAGTACACATTCAGGACAAAAGAGCTTCTCCACTGAAGATAATTGAACCAAATAGTAGAAAGAATGTAAATGAAAAGCAAAATTTACCAAGTGCGTTTAATTTGAGTAACAAACAAAGCATCCGGTTGATTTCGAAAAATGATGCCTATAAATCCTCGAAGATTGTAATCACAACGAAAGGAGAAAGTGAAAACAACAAGTTTCCAACAGGAACGTCAATGAGTGACCAATATAAAATTCCATTCACTTTTGAAAAAAATTCTTTTGTAAAAACTAATTTTCGTATACAGAATGATTCAAAAAGGAATCACATTTCAACTGCAACGGAATTGAGTTTAAGGAAAAAAAGACTTGCTACAGAAAATAAAACTGCCCCATCAGTCAACTCTGACTGCAAAACAGATTCTTCTGAACAAGAAGCAATTCATGATATAGATGTTTCTGTTCCAGTTATTGAGGAAAAAGATATACATTTTTCTGAAATCGTGTTAGGTAAAGGATCTTTTGGTACTGTAAGAAGGGCGACTTGGTTGAAAACTGATGTTGCTGTAAAAACAATTCAATCAACTTCTAATGATAAGTACATAATTCGGGAGATAAAAATCATGGACAAAATTAGACATCCAAACATTGTCAGCATAATGGCTGTATCATTTACTCAGTATGAATATCACATTGTTCTAGAATATTTCAATGGTGCCAGTTTACGGTCTGTTTTATTCGATAATGAATCAAAATTGAATTTAAAGTTAACTGAGGAAAATAAATCTCTTATTTGTTCTCAAATATGCATAGCGATAGTATTCTTGCATGAATCGAAGCCAACAATATTGCATAAAGATATCAAACCAGACAATATTCTTGTAAATAAGGAATATCAAGTTAAAGTATGCGATCTTGGCATTGGTACATTTGATGAGTTGCCTTCAGTACTTCATACGACAATCGGACACAACTTTCAAGGGACACCACTTTATATGGCCCCTGAGATTCTTATAAATAACAGAAAAGCAACTATTTACTCAGATGTTTGGTCCATCGCCTGTGTTATCGTAGAATTGTATTCAGAAAAAACCGTGTGGAATATGCCATATGGGAGTGGAAAAAATTTGAAAAATTTGAAAGCGATCATCATCACTTTAAAGTTTCCAAATTTGTCGAGCATACCAAGGTATTTAAAAGATATCTTAAAACAATGCTTCCAACATGAACCTGAAAGAAGACCACAAGCTTCTGCTCTTCTTCATATTTTTAAAGGTATTTTTAAGTACTATATTTTATAAAATTATTTCCTTTTTGACAATTGAACAACACGGAACAAGTTAAATTTTTTATTTAAAGCAGATATCACTATAAGTGTCTAATCGCAGACGGTTAATGAAGTTGTGCAGTTATATTATATTCATGTACGTATAGACAACGGGATATTCAGGCCAGTAAAAAAAACTAGTTTATCTTCTTATTATAGCTGGCCAGTAGACAAAATCAAGTTGATACAGCCGAAAAACTCGCTGATGGTTAACCTTCTAATTTTTTAGGCCGGTATAATAAACACTGTTTATCAAAAATTGGAGCACATATTCCTTTTTATGTACTTAAAACTGTGCATATTATGATTTGATTTATTCTAATCATTTTTATTTAGTTATTTATTTTATGTTGATATTCAATTTGTCGCTTGGTCAAATCAATCCTTTCTCTATCAATCTGCATTTGATTTATCTTGTTTGTCACGAATTAGTAACATTAAAAATAAGAAATAGTAAAAAAATGAGAGAAATTGGAAAAAATAAAGCTAAAATGGGAGAAAGCAGAAATAAAAATATATAATAAATAAAAATTTATCAACGCAAGGGAGTGTTTGGTAATATTTATCTATTTTCTACTTTATATATTCATAAAATTTTAATGTTTTTCTAGGTTAATTATATTGACAACTTTGACATTTCTTCAAAACAATCGAGCCAATCAAATTAATAGAAAATTTATATTACTAATTCAAAAAATTACATTTAAAAAATTTTCTGTGGTATTATTTACAGTGATTGCGTCCTTATTAGTCACCTATTTGATGTTGAAAATTAAAAAATTAATTTCACTTTTGATTATGTTTTTATCATATTAAAAAATAGCAGTTAACTTAATTAAATATCAAATGTGTGAACACAAAAATTTTTCTTTAAATATCAGGACTCAAATGTTAAAGGTTCCAGAGATTTGCCCATACGTAAATATTAAAATTTGTATAATAATAGGCAATGCGAAGTTGGTTTTGTATTGCATTCTTGCACATTCTCGCATTGCGAGAACATTTTTTGCATTTTTTTTTACTTTCCGAGACATTTAATTATAATTATATATACACCTTTTTCCATACAACATTATTACTATTTGCATTTTTTTGGTAAAAGCTTTTGGTAAAATTAGTCAAGTAGCCCAACAGTGAAATATTCGGCTTCTCGCCTGATTTCTTTAGGGTAGTTGACGATCTAAGTATATATAATTTCTATTTCGTCTGCTGGCTGGCCATTAGAAGATAAACCAATTTTTTTCTACTGGCCTGAAAATCATATCGGACTATGACATATAACACAAATGAATAATTTTTGCTAATTAATTTAATTTAAAAAATTCAATTCAACAAATCAAATAAAAGTTTACTTTAAAAATCTTGAAATCTGAAGAGGGAGGGATCAAGAATTTGCAATATACGTACATAAATTATAAGGGAAGCAAACAGGAATCTTCAATCTTATTGAAAATAGTAATACCAATATTCACGACTTAACTACTTCCTATATAATCAAAACAATTACTTATAAAATTCTATTTTTTAGCACGGATTGAAGCAAAGGAATAAAACACTAAATAAACTCCAGACTGAGAAGATTTGACGGTGATATAGTCGAGTTAAGTGTATACAGTTAAACTGTAATCACTTATTTAATGATTAAGTTATTTTATTAATAATTTCTTATCACTTAATTTTAAAAGGAATTGCTGTTTTACGATTTTCTTGTTCAATATATTGAAATTTAGATGTTTTTGCAAAGTTAAGGACAAATATACAAAATGGTATTAAATCATAGACATAAATATGTTGAAGCAGATAAAATTTGTTTTGAAAATTGTCAGTTAAAAGTTAATTGTTTGTTTTAATAGATACTTGCATGTGTAAAAATTATCGCTATATTGTGTCTATTAATTAAAAGTAAAATTACGTCAAATATGTTCATTGTGTTATACAATGCGATTTGCTTATTTCATATTTTATGTACTTTAAAATATTTATTTAAAAATATTTATATCTTATGTGCAGATAGCAATAACCAATAAGTCGTATGTATCTTAATTATTATCTATAATATATGGCTGTGATGTAAGTGCTGAAGCACATTAAATCAAGTATTCTTGCAAGACTGACTGCGCCAAAATAAAAAGTTAACATGATATTATTATTCATAATTTAGAATATTAACTAACATAGTTTGTATATGTGTAATAAAAATGTAAAAAATGTTTGTTACAGAATAATGTGAAGTGAATATAATTTATTATGAACATGTTAAAAAATTTCAATATTTTAAAATAAATAAGTATAATAAATAAGTAAAATACCAAGAACATTTTTTATTTTGTAAATATAAATTTTAATAAAAAAAAACAATATGCATATACTTATTGTATCTAAAATACTTTAAAAAAGAAGAAGAAGACATAAATATAAATTTTTTGTACTTTTTAACGATGTAGTTGGAATTTTTTGGAAATTCTCGGATTTTTCCCGGTCAAAATGAATTTCCGGCAAAATCCCGGCTTTCCCGGGTCGCTAGACAACCTGTAGTATTAAATTTGAAAAAAATCGTGTTCTTTATTTTACAATTTCCAACAGTCAGTTGAGGATTAACATAACATATATAGTATATAGAGATATAACATATATTTATAAATGAAATTAATAAATTTATTCTTAAGAATGCATTTATAAATTTTTTAATAACATATTTCTCTGCGTCTTTTATCAATTTTTCTAGATTATTTACAATGAAATCACCCAACGAGTTATAAACACAATTTATAAGTTTGCTATAGAAGCATTTGAATATTAATTTTTTTTCGGAAATATCTATTACGTTACAAATGTTTGTAAAAGTCATTCGGAAAAATCGCGCACTTTTATGGAGTTTAATAATAAAAATACAATATAAGCATGCGGTATAATTATAATGGATGTATGCGTCTTCTCGAGAAAAATAAGTTGTAAATCCTCAAACGTTAATATAGAATTAGTTATCAACTTTCATTTGTATATTCATTAATTCTATTTAAAATTTTTTGATATAATTCTAGAGCTTCCTCCGGTGTACTAGCAACTTCAACATTTGGTAAAATAATTTCAATTAATTCCTCAAAATTAGGACAAATTAAATGTGGTTTCGTTGTAAACTGTTCAAGAAGCCGTTGCACGACTTTTTCATTTACACCTTTCTTATAATTACGAGCATTGACTCTTTCAGGCAATTCAAATAGAATAAATGGTTTACCAGCAATATTATTTCTTGCTGGTTGTTTTCGAATCCTATGTTCATTCCACAGAGTTTTAGTCATCTCTAAATCCTTTGTAATCATAGGACCGAAACAATACTGCAAACACATTTTATGTAGTTTACTACCATCAAACAGATTCTTTTCCACCATGCACTTGAAAAACTGTATGTAAAAATCAGCCGAGTGTCGTCGCATTTGTCCCCAATATGATTCAATCCGTTGATTGTGCACACTTTTCCCTTTTATAAAACTTTTTTCTCCAGAAAATTGGTCATCGTCTTTACTGCGTAAACAAATTTGAAGAGACTCCATTAGAGTGTTTTCAGAGCCCTTGTCTGATCGCATAACAGTAGGTAAAAACTTCAGTTGTAATACAGTTTTTAAAAAATAATGGGCTGTCACTTTCGGATCATTATTTGTTGTTGCAACTTCTAACCATAAAATCATCCTTGAAAACCCATCAATGCAACCATGTATCGCAAAACCAAATGGTTTTAATTTATCATATCCATCTGTATGCCAAATGAAATTTGGACCCGGACTGAGATATTCTCTCCTCCGAAGCCTATTAGCAAATCTGTTTGCCAATCCCTCTGGATCTGCTATTTTCAAGATATTGTATACTGTATCCCTCTTTACTGTAAGGCCATATTTTTTTTTAATTTCAACCATAAAGATCTATATCCCAGATTATAACCAGATGAGTAAAGCTCTTCTACAACAGCGGTACATATTTCTCTTAAGTCACTTTCTTGAATATTTTTTCTTCTTAAACCAAGTGATGAGACAATTCGTTTAATATTACTTAAGGAAGTATTAATTTTATGTTCTTTTTGCAACAAGTCACGTATTTCTTCGTATTTAAAATTCATATAAAAATATTCTTTTATTAAAGCCTCCATTTTAGTTTTTTATTAAAACAATTTGTTATTAAATAAATCCACACATGTACTAAGTAGTGCAATACAACTTTCCACAGCGGACAATCTGAAAACTGTAATTAAAATTGTTTTATTTTTCATAATTAAATTAATTACTGATTCTAAATGAATTTTGTATTTAAAAAAACAATTGTATTTTAATCAAAATTACGTTTAAGACCAGGTAAGAAAGTATCACCTCGGTAATAAGGCTTGCATAATTACAAGGTATTGACAAATTTTACCACTCGTGGAGTATAAATAAAAAGTAAATATTTAGATTAAAGTTTATGTTGAAGGTTTTTTACTTTTCTTACTTCTAAAGAAACCTTTAACATCAACTTAAATCTAAATTTTAATAAGGTCGAAAACATAAATTTTACATCTTTTCACAATAAAAAGTAAATATACTTTTTTGAATTACGTTTTTGTCCAAAGAATTTAATTCTCGAGATAGAATGAATTTCATATCAAATTGAATACGCTTTTCTATTCCGATCATGTGACCAAAAATTTAGCTCAGTTTGTAAATTCTTTCAAATATACCGACAAATGTTATTCTTGGATCAGTAATAATATTTTCATATTCCTTTTAATCCATACAATTTAATTATTATTTATTTATTGCATATAATTTTACACTTTAGTACGTTAGGAAATATTAAAATAATAATTTTATATGTTATGCCAAAATGTTTTTGTCTTAAAGAAATTGTTTTTAAGTCTATTTTGCAAAATTTTTTCAATATTTTTTATATTTTTGAACTTTATATACAAACTTTGAATAAAAGAAATATAAATATAAGAATTAAAATGCTTCTGAAAATCTAATCTAATTTGTTATGCACTTCCAATGCATGTAATAACATATATGTTATTACATTAATAAATTTATAGTCAGTATACACTAATCTCTGACATACATATATACGTACGTTTAGAAGGAATATTGATGACAGATGAATTAAAAATTTCGTATTGATCAACTCCATCGACTAATTTAAAGAAATCGTTTTCTATTAATTGCACACCACATTTTTCATCCTTTGTGTTAAAATAGATTAAACCACTTGCTTGTGGGAAATAATTTTTTATTGTTTTTAAGGATATTGTATTTTTTTCAGTTGGTAATCGAATACAATTTTTTCCATCTTTAATCTTAATCAAATTCATTTTTATTCAAAAACATTAAACGGACTTGCCCGGATGAAATTATACTTGAAATGAAAAGCACTGACGAAATAGACGGCAACAGGATTGTCATATTTGTGAATGACCCTTCAAAAAATCCACTTTCCACAAGTGGCACGGAGTCCGTCCAACTTGTGGCAAGTTCGTTAGTTCGTGCCACAAGTTGGACGGACTCCGTGCCACTTGTGGTACGAAACACCGCCACTTGCGTCCGAGACGCTCGTGAGCCGTACAGGCTTCCGTATGAATGAGATACGATATATGATATCGCGCAAGCGATCGATGCGCAGTAGTGTTAGTCAGTTGGAAACCACGAATATAGGAACATAGGTATAATTATTATTATTATTATCTTATAATAATCTTTGTATTCAATCCTTCTTTCATTCATTCACATTTCCCTTGCATTTAAAATTTCTCGTTATTATTAGATTATATATACATATATATCTTTGCTTTGATAATGAGGGTTCTCGAGGATTTCCACCTGCAATTTGTTTCGTCAAAAACATCCTTCGGTTGAGGGTTTACTTTCTATTATTGTTTATATAAGATGGTCGATGATCGTTTAATTACTGTCCTGTAAGGGGAAGTGGTGTCCCTCATCTTACCAGCCGCGCCAGAGCTATAACCATGTGGTTATACTGGAGAATCAAAATCAAGAAGAAAATCTTTGGTGCCAGCACCTTTGGGTTAAATTGGTTTAAAACAAATCGTATAGGTTTATTGTACCAAAATTATAAAACTTTAGAATATTAACATTTATATTTTGAACAACATATGCTCGTAATCGTGAAATTCTGAGAAATATGTCAAAATAAATTAAAAAATGTTTAGATTTAAAAATTTTATAATTTTGATGAAAAACTCATTAAGCGTTATAAAATAATATTGTCATTAAGCCTGAGAACGCCACACAGGCCCCTCGCTATAATTGACTTACTTGAGGTCCAAGCTCGTGCCAAGCCTGTTGAGTTGGAGTACACGAGTTGCCTTTACAGGACGCAATCCGTGATCGCCCGTTTTATCCACACTGCCTTGGGTTGAGAGAAATTTGTTTTCTATTATTGTATACGTGACATAGGTGATGACCGTTTAATTCCCGTGAGTGGAAGTGGTGAACCCATACTTTACTTACCAATGGCTATGCCCGATAACGCCACTCAGGCCTACCGCAATGTCTGCCTTACGCAAGGTCCTAAAATAGGCCCAGTCCGATAGAGTATAGTTAAATGTTTTGAAGTGCAAAAAAGCCGATTTGGACTAAGAAATATATTATTTTTTAAAAAGAAATAAAAGAGAAATGGGACTGATTTACCGACAATTTTAACATGTAAGTAGTACTCATATGGTAAATTTATCATATGAACACTACACACTTGATAAAATTGTCGGTGGATCTGTCACACTTCGCTTTTATTTCTTTTTAAAAAATTATATATTTGTTATTACAAATCGGCTTTTTTGCACTTCGAAACATTTATTCTATTTATTTATAGTGCAAACTTAAATAAACAAATGACAATTCAAATGTTCAACAGAAAAGAATTCACGGTAAGAAAAAAATAATTCACCGTAACGTTCCAATTCAGTTTTTCGCCAAACCGAATTCAGCTTAAGTTACCACCAATTCTTTTCGCTTACTCCCAATTATTTTTTTTACTGTGTTGGCCAACATTAGCAATAAAGATATTTGGATTTTGAAGATAAAATTGGTATTGAATATATTTTGATATTGGAAAAAATATTAATTATTTGATAATAGTGGAAGCTAGATTTTGGAAAAATTTGTTAATATTGGATAACATTGGCATTAAAGATATTTGAATTTTGAGGATAAAATTGGTATTGAATATATTTTGATAAAAGAAAAAAATATTATATGTTTGATATTAGTGGAAGCTAGCTTTTTGAAAATTAATTACATAGAATGCGGGTTGAATATTGTTTTATGGGTGAAATAATAGTTTGTGAGCTGAATATTGATTTGAATATCAGTTGTTAATTTGAGAGACAAAGAGATTCAAAGACATTAGAAAACTTTATATTTTTGAAAGTCTTAATGTAGGGTGTTTGAATGTTTATCCAAGTAGAATATTTAATTAGATTGTTCCCTTTTTAACCAACAGTAGTTTTTGAAGCTCTTGATCAACAACCGATTGGTACAGTTAAGTCTGAAGTATATGAAATAGCAATTGCAACATCTGTATTGGTTAACAGTGTAAATTAAAAGATTAATTTATGAAATTGATAATAATATAATGAGCAAGCACTTGATATCATTTTTTGAATACAATTAATTAAATCATTTTCCGGCAGTTATAGAATGTCTAATATTAGGATTTCGATTTGTAGAGAATGATTGGAATTGTCTTTTCATAAATCGAGCTAAAGAACTTCAAAATGGTGGACTAAACCTTTCATATTTTTGCAAGACTTTTGCCAGTAAAAATGACAACAGAGTTCTGTCTAGTGAAACTGAGAATGAAAAGAAAATACCCAAAGAAAAAAATTTGTCATGTAGGATAAAGAAATTATCTACAGAAATTGAGGAGGGATTTACATGTTCGTGTAAATTCAGTATGCACAACAGAAAATAATGAGAAAATAATTTCTAGTCTTATTGTTAGTGAAAATTTTGATCCCATGACATATCCTACAATGTTTCCTTATGGTGATCCTGGATGGACTGTTAACCTTAACCATACTCAAGGTAATTGTAATTTTATTCATTTACAATCTTATATGTATCGTCTTTCATAGAGAAGAAAGAAGCGGGGATTGCCACATGTGCGTTTAATTATATTTTTACGTACACAAATTTGCGATTCAGAAACTTTAAATAAAATGATATGTGCTGAAATCACAGACGAAATAAAGAATCCAGAAGTTTTTAAGATTGTAAAGCGATTTTAATTTCATGGGCCTTGTGGCAAACAAAATAGGAATTCACCCTGCATGGATCCTGAGATGGGTGAATGAAATATATTGCTAACAATTCGATGATCGTAGCATATAATCTTTATTTGAGTACAAAATTTAAAGGTCATATTGACTGTGCAATATTAGATATTATATTATTATAACACCATAATGTTGAAATAGTAATACAGTAACGATTTCAAAAATAACATTATTAATTTTGTGAGATCAAAATTCCAATAACTTTTCGTCAAATAAGAATAAATTTTTGATTTTTCATAAAAAAGTATAGAAACCACGTGCGTTTACGCGCGTTTCTTTTAGCTAGTTCGGAAATAAAGTGACTCGTAATTATAATTGAGTTTTCTTATTTTATATGAACACAAATTAATGGGAATACCCTTTTGATTAAATATATTATTAAGAAATAAGTCGAATAATAGAACTGCTTTTAAGACTTTAAAACAAAAAAAAAATTAATGATCAATAATAAATAATAATAATAATAATAAATTAACTATATTATAATTATTATTAGCGGTAAAGATCAATAATTTTTAAAAAATTTAATTCATTCCTTTAAAACTCATTACTAAAGGGTTATAGAGGGCGCTGATTTCAAATTTTTTGTCACTCAATAATTAAAAATGGCAAATAAGAAATTTTACAAATTTGATTAATTCCATTAAAACTCATTACTAGGGGATTATTGAGGGCGATGATTTCAAAATTTTTATTCACTAAAAAATTCAAAATGGCAGATAACAATTTTTTAAAAATAATTTATTTTCATTGAAACTCCTTACTAGAGGGTTATACACAGTGGTCCTCAAGCAAACATTTAAACTGCGTTTTACAATAATTCACAGTGGTTTTCAAGCATCTAAAGGTTCGACTAAAATGGATCCTAAAATTGACTGAACAAGCTTTTAAAAGACTATTCGTAGATGTAAAAACTGGGTTTCATAAAATCTTAGCTGATATTTGACTTATAGAAAATTACATATACAAAAGCTTGTAGAATAGCTTATTAGATTACTCTTTATAGACGCTAAAACAACTTTGTCCAAAATCAGAACCAATTTTTTTCAAAATATTTTTAAACTGCGTTTTACAATAATTTTTCATCTTTTAAGATTAAACTTAATTTAGCTTCTTCAAGTTGAAATTTCATCCATTTATATAAATGTATTCGTGCTTTAGTTTTGTAACGTCTTGTAACAACTGACTGATTAACTGATTGCTTGCGCGCAAAATCAATTGCTTTTTCCCTATTTTGAAATGAGTTCTCATGAGGAGAACCGGAAGAAAATATGCGCACCATGCAGTCAAACAATTGCTTTTAAAGAGGTTAAACCAGAAAAGTTCCTTATAAACGAGAAGTTAACTAATCTAATTAAAAAATTTATCAACAATAATTTTAATTTAAATGGGCCTTTTAAAGATACCTTTTTTGTAATCTAGAAAAGTACACACTGTACACTAAAATGGTTTACCAATGAACATTACAGATATAATTGTTGATTATTGAACAGTATATAATACAATGCTAAAAATACATTTCGTAAAACGTAATTTTAAGTTTTTTCGACAAAACGATCAGCTAGGATTTTATGAGAACCAGTTTTTACATTTACAAATAGTCTTCTAAAAGCTTGTTCAGTCAATTATAGGATCCATTTTAGTCGAACCTGTCGATGCTTGAGGACCACTGTGTATAGAGGGCGCTGATTTCGAATGTTTTATTCACTCAAAAATTTAAAATGGCGAATGACAAATTATGAAAATTCTATTACAACTCATTACTAGGGGGTTATAGATGACGCTCATTTCGAATTTTTTATCCTCTCAAAAATTCAAAATGGCGTATGACAAATTTTTAAAATTCAATTAAAGGCTTAGGCAGGATAGCTTCCCGAAAGACGTTCTCGAACGTGAAACATGAGTTAGAAAAGGACAGAGATTTATTTGTATCCTTTTCAATCTCATGCATCTCGTTCGCGTACGACTTTCGCGAATCTATTGTGCGTTGGCCTTAATTCCTTTACAACTCATTACTAGGCGGTTATAGAGGGCACTGATTTCGAATTTTTTATATACTCAAAAATTC